GGGGACGGCCACAGTTGTCCACCAGGCTGTAGTGTGCCAGCCCATGATTTATATAATTTTGTTTCTTCTTTTGGATATGTTTGCTATTTTCCATTTAAAAACTGAGGTGTTACTTTTTCAACAACATTTGTCGCCCTGTTTTTTTTATCACAAAAGTAATTATATTCACTGTAAAAAGTTTTGTTAAAAAGCCAATATACAAAAAAAAAGAAAATGCTACCCATAATTCTACTTCAAGGTAATTACTTACATTTTGATATCTTTCCAGTATTTTATCTCACATTGCCTTTTGAAGATCTGTAAGCACCCAAAATTATAAAGTGAGAGAAACAGCGAAGTACTAGAATAGAGCTGCGTATCTCCTGGGGGAGAGCAATGCCCTCATCTGGGTCCTGCTCACTGGTTCCCAAGGGAAACTGGTCTTCCAGGTGCTTCTGCATGTTGAGCTTTGGAGATTTCTTACAGAACAAAAATTCTTGGCATCCTCCTGCTAGCTTACTGAGCCAGTTCTAAGTTTCTAGGGAGAAGAGAATTTTGAAACCCTAGCCTCTAAAGAAAGAAATACTTCTCAGAAAGAAAACTCAAAGCAAATGATATTTTTCCCATCACCACCCCCTTCCAGATTTATTCAACTCTCTTGAAAGCTAAAATTCTACCCTGCCTTTATCACTAAATTCTGCAATTCTGAAAAGTCATGCTGAGACATTAACTTCTAATTATATAAACTTGTCCACCACTTCACTGAGGCCAAAGACCCTGGAGGGAGACTGGCGACCAGAAGACAGATGACAGAGGCCTGGGACAGAATCAGAAACTTGGCCGATACCCAGAGAAAGGACTCTTGAGTATCAGAACCCAGCACAAAGCGGTGGATTTGTACAGAAGCAAGTCCCCAGACACACATTCCTGCAGGCGGAGAGAGGCAACTGCAGGCAGGCGAGGCGGGAGGGAACCTGTCATCCCCATGCCCACATTTCACACCTACCTGAGTATCGGCTGAGCCCCTGCAGCAGGCCAGGCACAATGCACACACCATGTCGTGGTCTTGAGGACAAGATTAAAAGCAGCTAAAAGGACATTTTCCAGACAACTGGGAAAACCTGGCTGTATCTATGGGTATCGGATGATGTTAGGGAATGGTTAATTTTGTGAGGTGTGCCATTGACATAGTAGTTAGTTATGCTGGGGGAATAGCTTCGTTTTTAGAAATGCATGCTGTACGCATTCAGGAGCGAAACGTCACGATGTCTGTAATTTACTTTTAAGTGGTGAATATATATCTCAGCCTTGAAATCGTTTATCAGGTAAAACACACACGTGAAGCAAATATGACACGTTCAGCAACTGTGGAATCTCAGTGGCTGAGTTGCCCACTGCACTGTTCTTACCTTTGCATAGATATTTTCCATAATACAGTTTTTAAAAACTGAAATGCCTGTCACTTCCAAATTGAAATGTGACGGGTTAATTATGAAAAATAACCACCACTTAGAGGTTTAGGTGTAATCTGGCCTCCCTTGCACATGCCTGCTGCTACCGGGCTCAGGAGTGGCACACGCTGTACAGAAAAAGCACAACTCTTAACACTCCCACACACACTGAGACCCGGGGGCCCCCAATTCCTCAGGACCCACAGAGTGACCGAGGTGTGGGGACTCTTGTTCACAGCCGAGCGTGGCCTTTCCTGTTGTTAAAAGAAGAATGACTGTTTCACTGGGGATGGTTCTCCTGGATGAGCTGTGAATGCACGGAAGCTGGGCGCTGGCTTCCTCACCATCGGGACCCTGGGTGGCTGACAGGTGCGAAAAGCTTAGTCCAGGAGGAGCCCCTTTCCTTGAACCAGCCTCGCAGAGCCTGCAGATCTGGAGTAACCTCCCGCTCCGAGGCCCTGGCACCCCTGCTGCCCCAGGAACGTCTCCCGAACTCTGCCAGCCTCTCAGCTTCCCGTCCACCAGCTACACGGCCTCCTCACCCCACTGAATCCCATGCTCCGTCCGCTTCATGAAAACGTTTGCCTGGTGCATACGGGCAGGGGGCTCCACCCGTCCAGGAGGGACCACCAGGTGGGGACACCTGCCCAGACGCCCCGCAGCCTCGCCTGGCCCTCACCACCGCATTCCATGCCAGCCACACCCTGTCCAGCCACGCCTTCTGCGACGAGGGACAAACTGTGTGGCCTCCCGAGGTCTAAGCCAGCATTTAGACCCCGTCCCTGTGAGTCTGAAGCCAGGCCCTGCACCCCCAACCAGTGCTGGGGACACGTCAGACCCCTCAGAACAGCAGGTGCCTCCGGCTTCCCCACCTGGATCTCAGCTCCTGGTCCAATGAGTGCCTGGGCACAAACACCCTCGGAGCCTCACTCTGATCATCTGGGAAACGGGCGCAGCGGCACCGCCTCTGGGAGCCCCGATGGACCAGGTGCCCCGCAGGAGGCCGGGCGGCACCAGGGAGTGGAGTGGACGGCGCCTGAGACCCTCGCCCGACGCCAGAGTCTGAGGTCTCCTCACCGCCCTCCCCCCGCGAGGCAGATGCACACGCCACAGCCACGTGTCATCTCTCCCTTGCTGTTCTGTTTAAAGCCACCATTTCTAAATTCAGAATTTCTGCATGAAGGCTAGAGTCGCCACTTGGGAACTGGAACACAGACACTCGGTCAGAAAAGACGGCCTCTTCCTCACAGGGAAGAAGCCAATTTTCGGTTTATTACCCCCATGGCTTCACTACCGAGCGGGTCAGGGCCCCCTGCAGGGCTGGCCCGGCCACACCTCACCTTCCCATGACCTCAGGCCCAGCCGCAGCGCCCTGACCTGTCCTTGTGCGAACACAGCGGGGAGACGACATGGTTAGAAAAACCCAGAGCGGAGCTGGTTTGCTTGTTAATACGGTCTGTACGCTTGTCTAACTGATTTTTCAAAATACCCCAGAAGGCGTGAAAAACATAGAGGTGAAAGTCACCTGCAATCCCTCATCCGAATGCAACCGTTAAAAGGTCTCGTCTGCCACGTCATTCTCCCCGTGGGTTTGAGGAAAGTCGGGTGCTGGGCCACTGTTTCCAGGGTAACACGATGACCTCATCAGGGGCACCAAATCCGGGGTGCTACCCAGCTATGCGGGGCTTTCCTTCTAGACCCATGTGACACCTCACACCCTGGGGGTCACCTTTGCGTTCATCACCCTGTTACTAAAGGACACAGCTCAAATATTTTCCAAATCCTGAGACGGCTTCTTTCAGTAGAAATTTTACATTTTTCAACAGTGGGCAAAATCTATCAATAGTTCATCACTTTGTTCTGCTATTAGTGAAGATTGGTAATTTTTCATTGCAACGTGACTCTGCACAACATGAATCGAAAGCCATTTAGGTTACAAAGTAGCGCTTTTTCTGAAAACAGGTGCATTCAGCTGGCTGAACGTTAACAGCTGGCCAGCACCGAGTGGACCAGGCTGGGACAGGATGTGGCCATCCACCACCCTACCCCGCAGCCCCAAGGGACCCTGCGACCCAGGAGGTACCCTGCAGACAGTTCTGGACCAGGCTAGGTCCTGTATCCACGATTACAAACTACAGAACACAGCCGTGAGGACACGCACTCACCACGACAGCATCACGTGTGGGTCACAGCCCCATCAGACCCTCGTGGTGAAGCGGCAACTACTAGGAAGTGACGGTGCCTGTCCTCAGGGCACAGGCGCTGGGAAACCCCCTCGGAGGGCGTTCCTGCCCCGCATCCATCACCCAGAACCGCTCTTCTGCCAAAAGAAAGCAGTGGCAGCAGCAGGTCCCTTGGTTAGTCATTCAGCACCGTCTGTACCCCCCTTTGGACTATTTTATCACAAAGTTAAATTTTTAGCCAATTCATTTCTTTAAAGCTTATTAAATAGTGTCCTGCCCTTCTTTTGTTCAAGTATCAACTGAGAACCATAAAAACTAGAAAGTATATAAATGGCTAGAAGTAAATGGGGAGAAAGAAGAGAAAGTCCCCGGCCTGTGACAACAGTCAGAAAATATCTGGTGACGTATGTCTGTGAGTGAGCACCTGAGGTTCAGGGTCTGAAACCACCAGCGGAACCACACGCCCCCAGAGGCAGGTGTAGAGCAGGACGGGAGCAGGAGTGGGTGAGGTGGGGGGGAGGGGAGGAAGAGGGGACGAGGGCAGGGACAGGCCAGGAGACCAGCGAGGGAAAGGCAGAAACACGCACACCACGGGAAAGGAAGGTGGTGGGACTCGGACGTGTCACCTGGCTTGAGACGGCATCGTGGTCATCCAGTCCCTAAGGGAGGTCAGGGTTTCTCTCCAGAAGAGGCCACTGTTTGAGAAAAACAGATGGAAACCTTTTTACAAGATGAAGATGATTAAGTAAAGAACGTCCTCCTGTCAGCTGGGTGCTGAGGGGGGGCTTGCTTCAGGTTCTAACTCGTGGAGTCACTGCAGTAAAATCGGAAGCGGGGCCCAGGGCAGGGCAGGCGCAGCGCCTGCTGTTCCCAAACAGCGTCCATTCAGATACACAAAGGATACATCCTGACAGCTGAGGTTGAAGTTGGTCGTTTATTTATGAGTCTACACATTTTGTTGGCATCTTAAATGAGGTTGAAGGTGTCGAGACGGGTACCATCAGCTCTGAGTGACTGAGTCACCGGAAGCAGATTCCAGTAACCGTGCAAACTAACAGTCAGAGTATATAAAGCATGTTTTATTTTAAAAAACCTCAGCATTAAGAATTCAACCTTCTTTGAAGCCAATCACTTTTCTGTTAAAAACGACAGTCAAAAGAGCAGACACTTCACTCTTCACACAGAGAAGCTATGTTTTTACAGAATTCAAACAAACCTCTTCTCTCATCAGCCAGTGAACAAAACAAAGATGCTTCGGTAAATTCTATCAAGAAAAAATATCTTTCCCCCAAAGCATACCAATAAATATTTATATTAAAACCCACAAATATTTTTGTTTAATCAGATACAACAGAAGAAAAATTCATTTTTACGTTTATCTTTGTAGATAAGTGTGATTTATGTGCATATTCCAACCCCGGTCTGGTTTTGAGGAACAATGGTATGAAGAGTTGTTCTGCCAGCTGTGCACCACGGGTGTGTCACGGGCACTGAGCGTCGCAGCACACGGGCACAGGCTCCCCACAGTGAGGACACTGTCCCCACCACCGTGCTGAGCTCCCTTCCTAGAGCCTCGGACACGAGGTCTGCCTCCCTGCACCTCAACACAGGATTAGCCCAAGACAAGCCCGCGGCTCCTGCTTTAAAATCCTCGCGTAAATGACGGCCTGGAGCTCGTCTGCAGCCACAGCAAGCGTCTCTTTAGGGAGAAGGACTACAGTCTATGGACTGAACCGTTTCCCCGAGGAAACACGGTTTTCAGTTCCAGTATGAACCATTTCAAGGTTCTAACGCAAACTGGATTTTACCACCACTTACATGTCCCCCTTTCAAGGCTCAGTGAAGTAAACTTCTTGTCTCTTAGAAAAAGATGGACATAGATGACTGATGGACGCTACGTAGACAGAGAGAGATGGTTAGAGGACAGGTATACATTGTACATAGATGGCTGGAGATGACAGAGTGTAGACAGATGACTGATTGAGAAATGACAGATGACAGGCAGACACTGTCACCCCCCGGAGTCCACAGAAATGCTAAATGGCGCCCCTTTACGTGGAACAGCACAGAACTGAACGCTGAGGACAGTGGCTTTTAAAGAGAGGCATGCACAGTGTAACTGGAGGGTTTTGTTTTTAACCAAAAAACCCCAATACCTTCTCCGTGAAGCCACCGTGACCTGAGATAGACACGTACTCCTGTGGATCGGAGCTGTCCTGCTGAGGACACACGTGCACGGGTACCTGACCACGGGGCCAGTCTATCAGGGAGGCAGAGAGCAAGCCTGGAGACACACGAGATGCCTCAGTGACGTGCCCAAACCAGCCAGTCTCTCATTTGGAAAAACAAAACCCTGGGTGTTAGAGAAGAGAGGCACTTTCATCATTTTACATACAGTTTTAACTCTTAACAAGCGAGTTATTATTTTCCAAACAAAATTAACTGTCAAGTTACTAAAATTGATCCATGCTTTATATATAGCATTCTTTGATCTGCAATCAAAAACAGAGAACAAAGTTTTAGAAGAAAATAAGATCAATATTTAAAAGTTCAGGAGAAATAAAAATAAAACCTCAAGGTAAGAACCACTGTCATCATCTAATGCGCGTACAGGAGGCTGGAGATGAAGACGCGTTTGCAGACAGTGCATTCACGCTGATCAGATACAGCCTTTGCTTCTCCAGGGTTTATTCTGCTTGCATATTTTAAAATTTAGTACAAAAGAAGAGTTAACACAATGTAACATGACCTTTGGAAGATTCATTTTACACCTGGATTGCAGGTTTCTGGCAACAGAAGAGAACTGCGCAGCTGCTACATTCTTGTGTCATAGACTACACGTATGTGCTACATGCAGAGAAAGGGATCAAGACACGGAACAAAGAACTGCAACCGAGGACACAGGAAGACGGTTTTGTGGCAAAATGCAAATTACCACTGCGCTCCTCCCGGACAGCAGCAAACCTCACGTCTCCAGTCTCAGCAACACGTTGACGACAGGAGGACGTTTCCACATAAGGCAGTTGATGTGCGGTCCCTGTTCGTGTCCACTGAGGAATTTCCTAAGTAAGCATTTGAAGAGGAGAGTCCAAATAAAACAGCACAGGGCAGATTCTCTGCAGTTTTCATCAGGGAAAGACCAAACTTGATACTCTACTAAACACACACTGTGACACAGCAAACTCCAGGAATCTGAATGAAATGAGATACGAAGGTGCAGAATCAGGCAGACCTTGGTCTGTGAACTCGCAGGAGTGGGGCCGTCACTCCAGCTCCTCCCAGTCGTCCGTCAGGTGGCCTCTGCTCTGCCGACGGATGCTGACCAGCTTCCCCGCTGACCTGAGGCTCCAGCGCGAGCTGTTCCCGGCACCGGCCAGGCTGGTGTACTTGGTGGAGCCCCTGGCGTCCTCTTCCCAGCCCGGCCCGGACAGGCGGTCACTCATGGGGTCGCCCGAGTTGGCTGCCACGTCTTCAAGAATAAGTTTTGGTGGCTCCCAACCTTCGATCTCATCTGGTTTCTTAGACTGTGTACTCTGTTTCAAAACCAAATTGTCCCAAAATCCAGACTTCTTCTCCGTCTTCAAGTCTTCTTTTAATCGTAAGTTAGTTCTACAGGAGACGAAAGAGTTAAGTGTTGGTGATCAATCATCTCAGAGCCTCAAGTTGTGTTTATTTTATAAAATAAAAGGTTCTTTTTTAAAAAAGTCTTGTTTGGAAAGCTCACACAGATTTATACGTAAAACTTGAAATATTAATAAGGAAAAAGCAGTCACTACACATGATTAGGGAAACTTGTGAACGCTGTATTTAAGGTACCACACTTGGCAAAATGCAAAGTCACTCTCAAACAGAAGAGAAAAAAAGCAGACTGTCTCAAGGCCACACGGAAGGCCGAGCTCGTCTCTGAACCAACCTGAGAAAAGAAGCCCCAGGTCCAGATTCAGAAACGGGGGGTTACTCCATTTACCACAGGTTCAGTTTTCCACAGGTTTATTCAGAGCTGCAGCCTCAGATGCTCAGAGCTCAGAGCGCTGTGCGCTCTGAGGAAAATATGGCCGACTGTGGAGGCGAATGCTCACACACGACTCAGGGCTCTGGCCGCAGTCCCCCAGCCTGGCGGCCAGGAGCATCCCCAGGACACGGGTAAAAACGCCGGCGTCCAGGCCCGACCCCTTCAGAGTCTCATTTAATTGGACCGAGGGGCCAGGACACAGGCGTGTTTTCAGGCCCCCTGTCAGCTGCCACCCTGACATCCAAGAGGACCGACTTACACAGTCCCTGCAGAGAGGGCGCATGAGGTCACGACCACGGGGTCAGAGGCAGGGGAGGGCCAGACAGTGCTGGGGGGTCATGAGTGCTGCCGAGGCACCCGGTCCTCGGGAGAGAAGCCTCTCTACGGTCAGACTCACCAGGAGTCACCTGCCACTGGCAATTCCACTAGGTCGTCACTGAACTTATATTTTCATCTTTAAAAACATTTTTTTGTTGTTGGCCATGCCGCATGGCTTGTGGGATCTTAGTTCCCCAACCAGGGATCAAATCCAGGCCCACGGCAGTGAAAGCGCAGAGTCCTAACCAGTAGACTGCCAGGGAACTCCCTAAATACATTTTTTAAACTTTCAAAATATTTATAATAAATTAGCAGCACTGTCAGCTTAAATATATTCAGTTTTCTAAAATCTGTTTTTTTTAATTTATTTATTTTTGGCTGTGTTGGGTTTTTGTTGCTGTCCACAGGCTTTCTCTTGTGGCATGCAGGCTTCTCATTACGGTGGCTTCTCTTGTTGCAGAGCACGGGCTCTAGGTGCGTGGGCTTCAGTAGTTGTGGCACATGGGCCCAGTAGTTGTGGCTTGCGGGCTCTAGAGCACAGGCTCAGTAGTTGTGGTGCACAGGCTTAGTTGCTCTGCAGCATGTGGGATCTTCCCGGACCAGGGCTCGAACTCATGTCCCCTACCCTTGGCAGGCGGATTCTTAACCACTGCACCACCAGGGAAGCCCCAATTTTCTAAAATCTTTTACAGTTTACAATCAATCTTTGCATTTTTAACTGGGTTTTTTTCTTGATTTTCTGAAACTACTACACACCTTAAGCATGGCTACAAGCTGCTTTAAGGCTCATAAGTTCTATTTACTGTTAAAGTTTGAGAGCTGGTCAGAGAAGCTTTTTTTCCACTTTTCCATAATCTTTCTAAGTGCTTACTGTCAAAATCAGTACGACTCATTTCTGTCTCCTCACACGGGGAAGGAAGCCCTCAGCGTCCCTGCACACTGCCCTGCTTCCCCACCGCCCCTGGAACGGCTGCTGTCCAGATAGCAGCTACTCACCCTCTGGACTTGGGGGATTTACATCTTTCCAGCAGGTGCTGCTCGTCATCCTTGTTAAACAATGAAGTCACTTCTTTCCAGCCTCGGAAACTCGCTCCCTGAACCTAATAAAAGGTTAAAAAAAGATCACATCTGACATAGTGAATAAACAGGTCACAGCTGTTATGCAGTAACTGCGGGGCTGGCATTCAGCACAGAAGCTGGAACCAATTTCCTTACCTGCCGTATCCGCACAGCGACTTTTCCCATCAGTTGCAGGTAATCTCCGTTACCCAGTGAGGACAGTGGGTAAACCCACCCACGTTTAATAACAGACGATCAGTGACCACACTGCCGCCAAGCCAGTCGGGACGGTGGGGCTCCTGACACGAGGTGCGGGGCTGCACCAACCTCCAGGTGGACTTTGAGAAGAAACCACGCATTTCTGTTTATTCTAAGACAAATGATTTTCTACTTTTTCATTTCTGAAATCAGGATGTAATTAACGCCTGGCATCTCAGATTCAAAGAGATACAGTAATAAGGGAGGAATGGAGAAAAGGAAGGACATCTCCAGAAGTCTCGTGTTAACTGCCTTTACCGTGAGCCACTCTCACGTCCCTGGAGCCCAAAATCACACCAGCTGCAGCTGCTTTTCTTTGAAGGGGATGGAGGAGGGCATCTCCCGTAGGGCAGACCTGGCTTTAAATGCTTTGAAATGTTAAAAATGCAGCAGCACTGAAACCTGAACCAGGAGGCTGCAAGCGAGCAGTGGTGTGAGACCATCCGCAGAACAGGAAACAAACAGCTTGCGACCCTGCCGCGCTCGCCCCTCAGGGCTGATTGTCTCACTGAGGGCTCAGATGATGGTTGGCATGCTTTTTAGCAATTAAGCATTTTTTAATTAAGGTGTCTACGTTTTTAAAGACATAATACTACTGCACATTTAACAGACTACAATCTAGCATAAACACAACTTTTATACATGCTGGGAAATCAAAAACTTGGCATGACTTGCTCTATTGCAGTGATCTGGACGGAACCCACTCTCTGCCTGTGCAAGGTTGTTAACAGAGTACATCCTATGTTGTCATCACAAGGAGAAAAACCTATTTCCTTCTTTTTCCTGTATCTACACGAGATGATGGGTGGTAACTAACCCTAGCGTGGTCATCACTTCCTGACGTATGTCAGTCACAGCATCATACTACACATGTGGAATTTATACAGTGACGCGTGTCAGTTTCTCAATAAAACTGGGGGCGGGGGGAAAGAGTTCTAGGGCAACCACTCTGTAGCCTACAGGAGAAACTTACTACAAATCGCTGAGATGATCTAAATGAGATGGTAAGTCTTAGATGTGGACCCCAGAGCTTGGGGGAAACTAGAGATAAAACCACCACCGAAAGGAGCGTCTAAAAACGTTTAAAATAGTAAAAACCTCAACACAAACCACCTGTGCCGTTCAGTCCGGGAGGCCCACACTGCAGGAACGTGTCACTGGCTTAGGGCATTCTCCCCCTTCTCCCTACTCCTCTGCCTCTAACCCCTCCCTTCCCAGCTTCTTCTCACGTGTAATTGGGAAACACAGATGCGCTCGCCCTCTGGGCAGGTGCAGGGATGCATGTGAGCCAAAGAGCTCTCTGGTTGTCACCCACCACCTTTCCGTGGAGAGCATAAGGGCCCGTGTCAGACCCTGAGCTCTAACCTCACCCACACCTCCCACTGGACACTGCCCACCAGGCTTGCCTCCACCTTGCTGCCCCTCAAGAAGGGCAGCCTTCTTCCCGCCTCTCCCTCCATGGGCTGGCCTTGGTGCCCCTAGTCCGGCCGGGCTCAGAACCTGTAGGTGACCCCACCCCCTTGGATGCCACATCTGTCCCCGGCACGTGAATCCAGGCCTCTGGTTGTGGGGACTCAGGACACCTCTCCCACTGCCACACGTCACTCAAGGGCTGGCAATACCTGCCAGGTGACGTAAGAGCGAGGCTCCACGTCCCCAACAAGCAGATGTCCCAGGTCACAGCTGACACAGCACCTGGAAGAAATCAGAGAGACCAGGTGCGAAAACCTCTCTCTGCTGGCAGATAACTACTAAGTGACAAGTGATGTCACATCTACAGACAGAGCAGTAGGAGTTCTGAGTGGTGAGCGCTCACGTACAGTGTGGGGCAAACGGCCCGCCGGCAGCCTGAGGGAGGCCCACCCTGGGCCAGGCACATCCTACAGGAGCGCGGCCGTCACGCTGGGCTTAACGATCCCAGAAGAATGTGTCAAAGCCAGACCGCTCCTTCACTGACAGACCTGCTCTGCCTGCAGTGCCCACGTTTACACCTGAACTGCACCCCGAGAGGGACATGGGGATGTCACCCGCAGACATGACTGCAGCCACCCAGCAGGTCCCAGCCCAAGGGCTCTGCCCCTGATCTCAGGGAGGCTGCCCTCCACAAGCGCCACATGAAGGGTGCCCGTGGACGTCGAAGCGCTCCTGAGCTCACCTGGAAAGGTGGGCTGTGTGGAGGGCAGGTGCCGTTCGCGGTGTGGGGTGAGGAAGTTTCCATCCTCAGAGGGCAGATGAC